TAAGCAAAATAACATGTCTTCCCATATATTTTGCGACTCATCACAAAATAAACATTTATATACATCTCTCCAAAGCGAAAAAAAAAATAAAATTGACAAAGTGTTCCTGGGTCCGTAGCTGGAATTAATGTTTTGGACATAGAATCTCACATTTGGAGCTCTAACTAAATGATTTATGACCGTTAGAATATTAAAACAAAACTGTTTAGTTCCAAAACATCCCAATTCCCAAACTTTCACAATATTTTTAGACACACCCCTTAAGGCATCTCCGACGCAGTGAGTTTTAAGCCATTTACAAGGGAAACTGACACTCCATTTTGCAATATTTTTGAATGAAATTCATACAAGACAATTGTCCAGGTTGCTTTCGCAGCACTTTTTGAAATTTTGTTTCTGAACAAGATTTATGGTGGGTTGAAATGCTTACTTTTTTTTTAAAGTGATTTTTTTAAAAAGAGCCTAGTGGAAAAAATGAAAAAGTGGCTGGTTAGCACCCTGTAGGGTTTTGTTTTCAGCATACTTTGAAAATTTCATTCGAAAATATTAAAAAACGAAGCGAAAAATTTAAAAAATTGGATGTTATGTTTTTAGGTCTTATGTGACATCTACCATCACGAAAACTATATCACTCATTTCCGTCTTTGTCTACTAATCCTTTGCTCGTCTATAACTTGGAAATTACCGCTCGGATTTTTATGAAATTTCCACACAAGGTTACTACTATGCCAAAGCTTTGTAGTTCCAGCCCAGTGGCGGCGGCGTTATAGGCAAAAATCGAAAAAAATAACAATCGCCGAAACTCGATTTTTGACGTTTCCTAACCATTATAATAAAAAATTGTAGTGCTTAAAAAATATGAAATATTCCATTAAAAAATCTCAAATTGTCGCACCTATTTAAATTGAATATCCCATTAGTTACAGCGTAATCAGATATGCAATTCCGAAATAAGAAAATTAATATAGCATGCTATATATAGCGTTTTGATCATTATTGTCGAGTTATAAGGAATTCAATGTACAAAAACGCATAACTCTGACAATCAACCAGTTATAAATTAGTATATTATTCACGCGAATTTTAGCTTCACCCCTTAAAAAGTAAGTGGGAGGGGGGCTTTAAGAAAGGCTGGAAAGGTATTCGCCAGGAGCGAAATGGACAGTGGGAGACTAAATCGACCACCGCGCACGCTGCACTCAGAAAAGCAAACATCGTCAGCTTTATGGTGGAACATAGGGGTAGTCTCTGTCAAATTTGTATCATGTGGCTTGTCCATGGTGCAAATATTTCGCTGTGGTACGTTTGTAAATCACCTGAGAATGGAATGTAACTCTATTTTTAGGACACCTAATGACACTTGATTGTCAACTAATTTCTAACCACGTTTTCTGCGATCATTGTTTTTATTATAACAAACGCTATGGATATGAGGTTGCCTATTTATCGTGAAAAATATAGATTCTGCCAATTTTTGCGCACTTTTTGATAACGAAATAAACAGAAACGAGCAATGATAATAAGAAGTGTCAACACTCGTATTCCCAAGGTGCTAAGCACGGGAAGAAAATTGCACTTTTGACGCTCCAGAAGGATTACATACTAGTACTTTGTTCTATTTCCGAACGCATGGAGCCGATATGAGAAGCAATTACGAACACTGAAATTGTTACAGAACAATACAAAGCGCACACAGATTCAGATGCAGTTTGATATTTAAATTGTTCATGGAGAGAGTTTTTAGTGTTTTTATTGCGCTGCTTCGTTAAGATTCTCCTTATTTCGATTTTTCTCAGTACCAAAATAATCCTCCGTTATCGAAACAAGAAAGCTCCGTTAGTTAAGCTCAATTAAAATAATTTCAAAATATAAAAACATATTGGTTAAAATATAATGGTATTATGAGGTTTGGATCACAGATGAGAAGAAATAGGTAAATAGGTAAATACATTGAATTGCCATGATTTTTGTTATTGTATGCAATGTGGCAAGGCAGCCTTTTACTGTAGTGCTGCTGGTTTTTTGGACACTTGTCGTTCTGTGGTTCTATGATTCTAAATTTCTTGTCCAGTTTAGAGGCAAATATTGACAACTCTTTCATATAAATAATTTGATAAGGTCTCAAAATTTTGGGGTTGCTTCAAATTGTTCATGCTTTTGATTTATATCTGTTTTATGAGCCTAAAATTTCTTACAATTCAAAAAGAAAACATAACTTCACAATAAGTGTGCGCTGACGCTGACACGGGACAGAAATCTAGAAATACCCCCCAGCCTTTCTGAAAGAGAGAAAATACTATGACAATCAAGGAGGTCATAAAAGCGTCCTACAATCATGGGAACGACTGACGATATGGCCGTTAGTGGTCATAAAAACCCTTTTTTTGCCGCCAAAAATAACGTAACGGAAGATTTAACGAACCGTTATTTTAGTTGCATTAAAAACTCTCTATTATCTGTTTCATTGATATCTATTTATTTTCATATTGCATGTATCATAACGCACCCATCGAATAGCGTATAGTTCTCACAAATATCAAAAAGTTCTTGTGATTGTCCTTATCTTATAACGCCCTTAAATCAGCCTCTTAATAGTTCCACTACATAGTATAGGGACCCCAATATTCAAAGTGCCCAGGTTTCCAATAGTTTAATTTTTCAGAATTTTGGCTGTTGTAAAATTATTATCAATTATTAGCTTATCTAACACGTGTAAGTGCCACTGAGCTGTAAAATATAAACAATCGCCAGCGGTTTGGTTTGGGTTATTTTATCAATATTCATTGTCGATGTAGAAATATATTGATGTTTATAAATCGGTTAACCAGTGATTATAATACGTGTGAATAGCGTGAATTCCAATGGTTTGCCCATTCAGAGATTTCATATATATAATATAATAAAATAAATAAAATATATAATTTCATTAATATTACTGATATCGGGTTTTCCAATAGGGACTTGACAACTTTGAACTTTCACTGTGACCGTAACTTTACATCAATTACGGAACTGTTAATGTCAAAACATTCAGTAAAGAAAACATTTTCATCATGGTGAAATACATGAAAGAACAACGCTTACAAATAACTAAAATTTACTACCGAAATTCCGAGTCGGTGACGGAACTTTAAGAGCGTTAACGCCAATTGAACGGAGGTACGTTCTCGAATTGGGCTCTAGAAATGTTGCAAGAAAATGACCAATTTCACAGCAAAATCATCTTCAGTGATGAGGCGCATTTTTGGCTACACGGCTCCGTCAACAAACAGGATATGCATTATTGGTCAGGTGAAAACACTCATGTGCTCCAAGAAACTCGACTTTATTTACAAAAAATAACTGTATGGTGTGGTTTTCATGCCGGTGGTGTCATTCGTTGATGAAAATGACAGTCACGTTAAGCCATGTACAGATATGAAACAACACTGCGAACCGAACCACGCGACGAACCGCAGCGCGAGCATTTTGACGAACAAAATTGCAACGAACATCACCACAAACCGAACAAGTCGTGCAACAACATCGCGCAACAAAATGACGATCCAATTTTGATGTTTGTCGTTCAATGAAAGACGAATACTAGCGGAGATGGATATAGCAGTAGCAGCAGCTGCCTGTATGTATGTTCACTACTAATTATCTAAAAACAAGCGACGACGTCGTCCGAGACGATGGTGGCAAACGCAGTTATATACCAATAGATCAGCACACGGTTGCAACAATTTGATAGCGGAATTGAAATTTCAACAAAAATTTTACGAGGACGTCTCCAACGGATTTTGGATATCTTCTCACGTTGATTGGACCAAAAATACGAAGACAAGATACAAAATGGAGAGCTGCCATTACAGTACAAGAAAGATTTGCAATCACGCAGTCAGCGCCCGGTGATTCATACAGTAGTTTGCAATACATGTTTCGAATTTCAAAGCACTCGATCACCTACATCATTCCAGAAGTTTGTGAGGCATTGATCGAAGTTTTAAAGGAAGATATACAAGTAAGAAAAATAATTATTCTACTTCCAAGTTCATTACAATATAACACATTGGTGCTCGCCGCACCGGTATGCCTGTTCAAATATGTGCAACTTCGTCGCGAGCCATTCTTTTGATGTTGCGCTGAAAACCCGACAGAGCCTGGATCGGGCCGAACGAACGGCGAGCTGTAAAGGTGCATTTAAATTAGTGCGAACACGAGCGAACGAACGAATTCGTTCGCTTACGTTCGCCCAATTTAAATGGCGAACCGAAGAAGACCGAACGATTTCGTTCGTGTTCGGACATGTTCCAGCGAGTGTCGGTAAACTAGCGAATCATCAAAGGATGTTCGCGCTCAATGTAAACGACGTTTCTTGTACTTGCGAACACACGCGAATAAATTCGGCCTACTAAACGTGTACTGTTTAACTACTTTGTGTGTGGTTACGTCTTGCAAAACATGGAATGGACAAATGATAAAACTTTACAACTCATTGAGTTATATAGAACCAAAGAATGTTTGTGGAATCCAAAATCATCATTTTACAAACTTCTAAATAAGAAAAATGATGCATGGCAAGGAATATCAACAGAAATGAATTGCAACACCATAGAAGTGAAAAAGAAAATAAACTCTCTGCTTGCCTCATTTCGAAGAGAGAGACAAAAGGAAAGTACAACCAAAACATCAGGAAGTGGAGCTGGAGAACAGTACTACTCAACATGGTTTGCATTTAAGTCTCTGGATTTTTTGAGAGACAAATTTACACCAAAATCTACATTAAATACCGAGGAGGTGAGTGAAATAATACGCATATTCAGATTTTAGTAACGTTTTTATGCTTAAATACATATTTATGAGTAATTTGTTTGCCATGAAGATTGTCCGGATGTTACAAAATACTCCATAAACTCATGCCTAACTTTTTCCGCATTTGCTGAAGATTTTCGAGGTATATTTTTTAATGGAATTAATGATGTGGCTTTTTCGTTTTCTCTGCAGTTGCCGTTATTTACCCGCGTATTAGGTTCGATATCAAAACTTCCTGGTGGAGCGTATATATTTCGCGATGTTTTGCTCCTTCTCAAAAAATTGTGTAGGTATACACAACTTAAAACCACCAATGCCGCGTTGTCTTCTTTCAAAAGTATCGGTTTTCTGAGAGAGAAGAGGATGCCAAATGCATTTTCCACAACTCTCCGTGCCCTTGATAGCCTATAATTAAAGGTTCGTTTAGATGAGTTGTTTTCGTGTGTTCCACCATATGGTTTTAAAATGTGCTTATGTAGTGCAAATGCATCGTCTGCTACAAACACATAAGGCACGTTTTCTGTCCTTCCAGGTAAAATAGATTCTTCCGGTAATTTTAGAGTTCCTGCATACAATGTTTTACAAAAAGATGTATGAGCAAACACTCCTCCATCTGAGATGCGGCCTTGACAGCCTACATCAGCGAATAAAAAATTGTTATGATAATCCACAAGTGCAAGTAACACAATACTAAAAGTCGACTTATAATTGAAGTAGTCACTTCCACTGTTGGCTGGAGTTTGCAAAATACAGTGTTTTTCGTCAATAGATCCTAAGCAATGCGGAAAATTCCATCGCTTTTCAAAACCTTCAGCAATTTGTAACCATTCCTCTTGATTCTTGGGCATCTTAAAAAAATATTCCACTTAGTAAAATTCACAAGCATTTATTCTATTTTTAGATTCAAGAACGAGATGTTACAGTGAATATCAACGCTGACAATGAAAATGTAGACGAAGCTATTACAACCCATCAGGAACATAATGCAACATCTATGCCATCCACCAGTGGAGTAAACGCCACTAACAGGGATCATCTGCATCTTTCACTACTACACCACTTGTTTCACCTACTTCAAATAACGTATCATATATATCATCAAATCATACATCACCGGTTCATTATTTTCATTCATGCTCTCAGCCAGCAACAGCAGAAACAGAAAAAGAGCAAACAGATGAGAGCGAACTTGCTACTTTTGTTTTAAATTTTAAACCCTAAGTAAAATGACAATAAAGAATCTTTTGAGTAATTACCAGTGTTTTTTTACACCTCAGGTTTTTAACTATTACCTGTACACAATCTTGTAAACAATCAATCATGGCTTTGCACACTTCTGGAATAATGTGACAAATTGATGATGTAGAAATCTTGAACAAATACTTTAAACTCGAATAGCAATCTCCTGTTGCCAAAAAACGGAGCGTTAGTAATAACTTCTCTTTTGGTAATATTGCCTTTTTGAATGTAGTGTCCGTTTTTGATATGATTGGACCAATCAAATTTAGCAAATATTCCAAATCAGTTGAAGATATTCTGCAAAAGTTATTCAATTGTCCCAGATTATCGCTTGTAAGGTCTGTAAACATTGTTATTCCTCCTGCAGTGTCTCTTTTTTCCAGTAAATTTGAAGACCATTCCCTGTTTTTTCTTTTTTTCTTCGTCAAACCTGCCATAACAATAAAACTAGCACTAATAATTGTATCGTCAACAGAGTCCGACATGGAGTTCGAAAACAGAACAACGGAACATCCGCGAATGCAAATATTCGTACATATAAAAATGCCTCAAACAGGTAGCGAGCTAACGAACGAACGAACAAGACCAAATTCGTTCCTTCGTTCGTTCGCTCGTGTTCGCTCTAATTTAAATGCACCTTAACGCTAATCAGGTTCGCGACGGCGTTCTTTTCACCGTCTACACTAGCGCGGCGCGGTTCGTCGCGTGGTTCGGTTCGCGGTGTTGTTATATATCTATCTGTTCATGGCTTTACAGTCAACGGAGATCGCTACAGAGACATGTTGCAACGTTATTTTTTGGTCAATCGGATGGGCTAGACATTAACGATTTGTGGTTTCAACAAGACGGTGCCATAAGCCACACAGCGGGTGAAACAATCGACATATTGAAATCAAAATTCGGTGAATGTATTATATCGAGAAATGGTTCTGTCGAATGGCCGCCTAGATCGTGTGATTTAACACCTCTAGACTTTTGTTTTGTGGAGCTACATTAAATCATTGGTCTATGCCAACAAGCCGGCGTCGTTAGAGGAGCTCAGAGCTAATATTGAACATGAGATAGTGGCTGTTTCTGTCGAAATGTGTGGCCGAGTCATTGAAAATTGGGTTTAACGCATCGATCGCTGCGAACGTGCCCGTGGTAGACATATTGATGAGGTCCATACTTCAATCCAATAATAAGATTTTCGAGATATCTCAAATGGTTTACGTTTTATATAAAAGAAAGTTGTCAAGTCCTTAATGGAAAACCCTTGATACCTATTTTCAACGACATTCAAATGGAATCTTACAATAATTTTATTTTGACGGTATCTATATTTTGACTCCAAAAATTGTATTATGGGTATTTTCGCATGTTTCTATGAAACAACATGGCAAAACCGCAAGGTTCAAACGTTATAATCTCGCGATAAGCAGTACGTAATGAGTTGCAGTGTGACGTGATAAATTAGGTTGCTATTATGTTGTTTGGTATCCTGTATGTGTAAAAATATTATATACAGGGTGGCGCATCGAAAACGAAACAGACGCATTTACTGACAGCTCACTTTTTTTTGGAAAAACGCTCAGACCCGTCGATTTTGTTTTCAAGGGGGACACAAGTTTGGCAAAAAATCACGTTAACACGTGCAGCCCCCTGGGCGGGCGTGACACCAACCCTAAAATCTTACATAGAAAGGGGGGTCGAGTGATACCTTATTTTAAAGGTCTTTCAATTCCGTTTATAATGATGTAAAATACACGAGCTTCAGTTCAGTAGTTTTGAAGATTTATTGATTTAAAGCTTAAAGTAGACTTTAATATCAGATTAGTTTGTACTACTTTCAGAAGAAATTTGACTAAAAGAATTTACTTAATAAGTAAATGCTTTTCTTCACTACGCCCATGGTTTGTTTATCATTTTGTTGTTGAAAATAGCTATTGGAACGTTTTTTTGTGGCAAAAAAGTTATTTCTTGAAGAAAGATAAGGAAATATCTCGTACTTATTTTAAATAGGAATTTAGTACATATTTTGCGATTGATATGACCAAACTTTGTTGCTAAAATAACTTGTAACGCTTTATTACATAAATTAACCATGGTATATTCCACAGCAGAAAGAGTTGAAATTATCGAAATATTTTTCGGAAATAATCAGTGCGCTAATAGAACAGCAGAAATATTTAATGAGCGACATGAGAACAGTAACGTGCATGGAAAATATGTTCTAGAACATGTAGCTAAATTTAGGGAAACTGGGTCAGTCGCCAATAAAAAACGCAACACTGAAAATCCCATAAGGAACGAAGCAATAGAAGTGGGGGTTTTAGGGCAAGTTTATGTAGATCCTACGTTAAGTACCCGCAAATTGGCGACGGTGTGTCGTGTTAGTCGACGTACTGGCCAACGAATACTAAAGACCCATAGTTTTCATCCGCATAGAATTCACCTGGTACAAGAACTTAGGCCCGTATCGTCAGTCGTCCCTACAATTGTAGGGCGCGTTTATGGCCTCATTGATTATCATACTCCTTTCTATCCTTCAAAAATTTCTAGATTACACTTGTCCCGTGTCAGCGCTCTCCTATTGTGAAGATATGTTTTCTTTTTAAATTGTAGGAAATTTCAGGCTGATAAAACATGATATAACTCAAGAGCAAGCAAAATTTGATGCAAATAGATGTTTGTGACATAACCTCAAAATAGAGTTCTGACACGGAGAAGTAGAAAACTATGACAATCAAGGAGGCCATAAAGGCGCCCTACAATTTGTAGGGACGACTGACGATACGGGCCTAAATGAAGACGATTTTGATTGGCGATTACAATTTTGTGAAGATATGAGTGAACGAATTATAAACGATGAACATTTTCTATTCAACACTTGCTTTTCCGACGAATGTTCCTTTTTCTTAAATGGCGCATAACTGCCGATATTTTAATTCAAAATTTAAGACGGGTCATACATACGTTCATATTATGTTTCTTCCTAAAGGAAGGCCAAACATAGCCTTTTACATATGAAATGCCCCGCTTGACAGGACAATATTACGCAGAATAAAAATTAAGAGTACTTGATTGGTATAATTTTTCTGAGGCAGTTGAAATATGCAAACAGTAATTTTCACAGAAAAATAAACTAGTTCTCTCTAATTCCAAACCGCACGCAACAAAGGTACACACATTTACGTACAAAATAACAATTTGCTGCTGACAGTATACAAATGATAGTTTTCTTGTTTACAGCGGATAACATTAATGGCATAAAATAACGTGTGAATGTCAGGTTAACGCGTAATAAAGGAAAAGTAAAGTGTGCTTGTTAGGTTTGATGGGAAAATATTTTTCAATTACCACATCTAAACAACCGTTTCCGAACTACGAGCTCTAGGGTCAACCGAACATCTTAATGTGAGTACACAAGAGAATGCAGGTTTGACAGGCCAGCACACTAAAAGTTTTATTTACGACTGTCATAAATAAGATAAGTATTTGGACAACCCAAATTTGAATCTAAGATGCGTACTGTGTTTTTACTTTCCACTCCAATCGAGAAATGTCTAAAATGAAATATTAAGCCTTTTTAATACGCTTTTATTAGCTTGGCATGTACTCGTATGTCTGTATGAATGTAACGGAATTTTTCAACCCAACTTTCACCAAGTCTGACTAACCTGACAATAATCTTGGAAAAAAATTTGAAAACTAAAAAAATTTTGAAAATATTGAAAAAAATGAATTTGAAAATAAATCAAAAAATCAGGAAGCCCTTTATTACAAGTACTTTTGTTGTCGTTTTGAGACTAAAAATTCAGAAAATAACTCATAGTTAAAAAAAAAACTAAAAAACACGCTTTAATAGCAAATCGAACTAAAAAGTAGAAAATAATTTTCAAATTTAGGAGAGTTTGTGTTACTGCAATAGAAAGTCCAACAATCAAGTATAACTAATTAATTTGTAATGAGTTCAATATGAAAATTATGTTATTAACAGAAAATTCAATTATAGTAAAAAAGCGTGGGGTGCAATTAACTATATTTTCATAATAACTCCAATTCTGTAAATAGCAACTAAAAAATTAACTTCCTAATAAAAAGCTACTTGCTAGAGAAATTAAAAACCATCCATTCTTATTGGTTCATCTGTTTGGAAATTCTTGCAGTGAAGCTTAAAAATCATACAAAACTGTTCCACTCATGACAAGAGTCACAGCAGAGAGATCGGAAGCATGCCACGCTGTCGAATTGTGCTAGTGAAAATATACAGGGTGGCGCATCGAAAACGAAACAGACGCATTTACTGGTAGCTCAGTTTTTTTTTTTTGGAAATACGCTCAGACCCGTCGATTTTGTTTTCGAGGGGGACACAAGTCTGGCAAAAAATCACGTTAACACGTGCAGCCTCTTGGGCGGGGTGACACCAACCCTAAAATCTTAAATGGAAAGGGGGGTCGAGTGATACCTTATTTTAAAGGTCTTTCAATTCCCTTTATAATGATGTAAAATACATGAGCTTCAGTTCAGTAGTTTTGAAGATTTATTGATTTAAAGCTTAAAGTAGACTTTAAAAGGTACATCAGATTAGTTTGTACTACTTTCAGAAGAAATTTGACTAAAAGAATTT